AAGGATGGTCTTATTATTAAGAAGCCTGTAGCTGTACATTCGAGAGCTCGAGTTCGTAAAAATACCGAAGCTAGACGCAAAGGTCGTCATTGCGGTTTTGGTAAAAGAAAGGGTACGGCAAATGCACGCACACCCCAAAAAGTACGTATTCTAGTAATTAAACCTGACACATAATTGGAAAGCATAGATAGAAAAAAGAGGAATAATAAATTTGAAATTATCAGAAACCAATGTGGAAAAATATGTTTTAAATATGTTTTAAATATGTTTTTAACAATTTCAAACATACTTAATTGATGTTTTTAAATGTATTTTATTAACAATACAGTTTAAAACATGTTTGAAGTATTAAAAATATGTTTAAAAAGAAACAAAGTTTTATTCTTAAAAAAAAAATAATAATTAAAGTCTTTGCCAAGCCTTTGTCTCTGTCAGAAATGATATATTCTGATATTTGGTTTCTTATAGGTTGTCTGAAATCTATTATTTTCTGTTGTTATTGCCTGTGTTTTTCAATTATGCATTAAATCTTATAACGTTATGCTACATTGAATGCATTTCACTTAACATTTATGACACTCATAAACTTTATTTAATTATTTATTATTAGTTTATCAAATTTCAATCAATTTGAAATTGATACTTGCGAGCATTGCGAATACCAAATTGAACGTACTCATTATTTTCTGTTTCTATCATATTAATAAAAAAATCATTTGTAATTATTTATAATAAATAATAATTATTATTTATTATTTATTATCAAACATTTGTAATTATTTATATACATCATACAGGATCTTTGGATTCAAAGGATGCGAGTCCTTCGTCGCCTTTTAAAGAAATATCGTGAAACGAAGAAGATTGATAGACATCTGTATCATTCGCTGTATATGAAAGCTAAAGGTAATGTTTTCAAAAATAAGCGAGTATTGATGGAGTTCATCCACAAAAAGAAGGCAGAGAAGGCCCGTGCTGAAATGTTGTCCGATCAGGCTGAGGCTCGACGCACCAAGGTCAGGGAAGCTCGTAAACGTCGTGCGGAACGCATTGCGTCAAAGAAGCAAGAACTATTGCAATCGTATCAACGTGAAGACGATGCTGCAAAGAAGTAAACTGTGCGATGTATTTTAAGTAAAAATTATATAAATAAAATGGAAAAAAATCATTTAAGGAAATCTATTTTCTCTAAGAGTTTGTCCAAAAAAATTAATTCAAATATTTATAAAAATAATTATAAAAAAAGAATAAAATAATTCAAAGATTGAAAAAATTACACATTTAAAATGTTTTACAAAATGAGATTAATTACAAGTAGATATTTGCAATTAATCTCAGTTTCAAGAGGGAACGTATTTTGGTCATGTTGTTTTTCTTTTATCTAGATGAAGACGCCAAAAAAAATTTGAAGATTGCTTCTACTTTTTTAAATGAAATTATATAATTTTTTTAATATAATATAATTCCTTTAATTATTTTACATAAGTTTTAATGTAGATATAAAAAAATCAATAGTTTGAGTATTTAACATTTTATATTAACACGTATGTGTCAGAATAAAGTATACAATATTAAATTATTGGTTTTCTGATATCTCTATCTAATGTGTATATACAGGGTGTCCCAAAAATCACGCATTCGGAGTACAGGATGATACTTTATGCTAAAACAATTTTTTCTTTTTATAAAATTGCGTCTAACAAGTTGCTTTTGCAGAAGAGCAGGGCCCCTGTTCTTGGAAAAAAAAAACGTATGAAAAACTAAAGATATATGGTATTCATAACATATACTATAGTATTTTCCTACTTTTCGAACATGTTTCTTTTCAGAAATAAGAGGCTCAGATTGAAGTTATATGAGTAAATGCAAAAATTATTTATCGGACGCTTTTTTAAATTTTGTTAAAAGAAAAAGTTGTTCGTTTTAATATCATGTTAATATCATACTCCGAATGCACGAATTTTGGGACATCCTATATACATTTATATATATATATATA